TATATTACACGTAGATTACCGACTTCTCGTTATCTGGAATCGGACTTGGGGTTCGTATCTACGTGTCACTCAACCACTGGACTACAGTCCGGTACAGGATTTAAAACTAAGATGCTTGTTACAGCAATTCGGATCCATATCTTGAATTTGCACAATATCCGTTATTTTTACCATTTTCACAGTGATGATATTCTGTCCGGTTAGACTTAGTATGTAGCCAACGAAATACCCCTGTTATACAACTCTGTTTATTTAGAGAGTGAATCATTCATTTACTGCGACTGTACAGTGTGTTTCTTAAAAGTTAGAACAATTTTCCGCATTCTACACCGAAATACTTTAATGCATGTCAGCGGCCACTTCATATTGTCTCCCCTGTTGTTACACACACGCAGGTTTCACTCATAGGCCTTGTTCCTCACCTCGCTTACAGAATTTGCCATGAAAGGGATAGGGTAATATTATTCAAGAAAGATCTTTGAGGGACCCATCCAAATCTGATTGATTCCTTCCACGTTTTCACCTGCCAAACTAAACAACCCATGATATCTGATTAACCTATTTGGTGTAACCGCATCATTAAATTCACCAAACATTTTGGATTAAGGTTTCTAATGGCTAAGACCACACTCTTCCATATACAATGGTTTACTTGCATGCGATATAGTGGGTATGTTTCATACCCAAATTAGGATATCATATGATTTATTGACCTTCTTTGATTTTGTTTTATTTCCCTTGATTTATTCAATAAATGCAAAACCAGTTTGGAGGAATGAAGCAGATTTTGACAGAATGCCATTAAATGATGAATTCGTCGTTTAAATGAGATGTGAGCTTAAAATCTGGGAAGCACTGGACATCTGTTTTGACCTGGTTGGGTAGAAAAGGTGGATTGTGACAAATCGCGGATGTTCAAAAATGAGAACCGGTTTGATCCGGTGGCCAGCTGGATAGCACGCTTGCGTTCAACCTTTAAGGTCCTGGGTTCGATCCCCAGTAGGGTGGATGAATTCACACTGCTGATAGGACCTAACCAGTTAGAAAAAGCCTTCCAGTGTTTTTTCAACATTTTAACTTCCGCCTCTTTGACACGACGAATTAACCAGGTAATCAAATCCAATCCGCCATTTCTCTCATATTAAAATGCCATTAATTGTGAAATTTGGGCTGCTATGTGAGGATTGGATCTAACGGTCTACCAAATGATCGTAGTCTATATGGATACTTCTGTTATGATTTCCGAAGTTTATGGTCGCGTCGAGGAACGTTACCTATTCAAAGTACAGTATAAAATAGGGTTGATTAAGATTACATGAAACGAAATATCTGATTTACAATTGTCAGTCAGTATTTTTGCGAGCGTCTATTTGTCGGTGGTTATCAACCCGACATTCTGTTCGTTTCTTCTGTAGTTACAATAGAACAATCCTTAAATCCATTCGGAGATACTATGAAAATCCAACAACCGCTTCTTCGTACGCGTACGCTACTCACAAATGTGAGTAGTACCTGACAACACTACTACTGCACGATTTTGTTATATAGGTCTAACTTAACGCATAACGGACGGTAAATTGTCATCGAAATCAATAATCAACTGCAAAGTGATTCTTATTGAGGGCAACATTCATGATTAGATGAAATAAAAATACACATATCATATGCTATTCGCTAGCAAAGCTCAACTTGTTATTTTTTTGCAGATTGCAGTAGTATATCTAATTATTTCTGTTATCACTATTCTATTGACTTAAAACATGTGCTTTTGCCTATTTTTCAAATAGATTCGGAAGACGTTCTTCAAACGAAGACGCTCACTGACCACCACAGAGCTACGAGGTCAGTTTGAATGGGCGACAGTGGGGGCGGGAAGTTCGCGGAGGATCCGGTAAAAACGTGCTCCATCTCTTTCTCTCTCTCTCTCTCCTTGTTACAGGTCTGCGTTATGTGTTTTCCATTTTGGACCGCGATAAGAATGGGGTAATCAGTGCGGGAGAACTGCTACTTACCTTGCGCGCATTGAACGTCACACTGACGGAGGCCGAACTGAACGACGTGATCACAGAGTTGGATGTGGACTGTGAGTGGTGAAATAAAATGCGAATTATTTCTTTGGTGTACGACTATAAGAATGACTTTGTTCAAAGGTTCCGCACATGCATGTCTGTTTAGTAACCTGAACTGACCACTCGGTTGTGTGCTCCTGTGAAAGTATTGTCCTTTCGCCCATGTAATGTTTATGTAGTAGTTGTACTATGCACTGATCACGAAGTACGAATCACGTATCAGAAATCATGCACTGAATTACACTGTCACTTGTACAACAGTATCCCACGTAATCGAGACGCAAAGAAAAAAGCCACACGAATGGCAGTTCGTTCATTGGAAGAAATCACGGGATTTAAATAATATGCACAAAACAAACTCATTGGTTATCCAGACATCTACTAATCACGTGCTCGTATTCCTGGCGTCGTACAGCTTCTGTCTGGGCCGCACGGTTTCTGATTTATCGGGACAATCGGCCTATGGTTCGTTGTCTAGAAGTTGGAACGCGTAGGCACTTTGTTGGCCTCATCCGGGACGGTTGACTCATCACAGTTGTCCGGAAACTTTAACCTGTTGCCCCAAAGTTTGCATCATCCCGTAAGCTAGGATCATCACAGTTTATCACAAAATCGCCACTAAATAACTTCACAAGATGCAAATGAGGATGCTGTGGTGAGCGAGATATTACTGTAAGTCATATACATAAATAGTTTGGTGAGCGTCAAAATTATGGCGACCCTCCAAACGGTTGAGATCAATTTGGGCAGTATACATATCACGACAACCATTCCTTATCCATTGAACTTGGAAGACATGACCTTAACAGCGGTTACATACAGCCCGTCCCTTTTAATCCAAAACGTCTATAAACCTTTCATGCAAACGATTGATCAGAATTTAGCAAACTACGGTGATCGTTTCTTATTCTGCTCTCAAAGGAACGTTGCGTTCAGCCATACAAATTAAGGCCTTGTGAATTCAAAGTACTAGCCCGATGAACAATCTCCAGAGGTTTCCAATCGGATCAGGGCAATGACTGTAAACGATGCCTTCTGCTGATCGTGTGATGTGGGAATTGTGGCGGTGCCGTGTGGAAAATATACCATTCAACCCATCTGTGTGATGAACAGCAGAAGATTGCTTTCCAGGGTGCCTTTTGCATGCGGTTGGATTTCTCTTACTGTCACCAACCAGTCTAACTCTCTGTGCGGAAAATGAAGCCCTGACGATGACCGGTCATTTCTGATCACGCTTGCTGATATCACTTCCGTAAAGATGTAAACGATCCCAATGAAGACTTTCTCCTCACTTAGAGTCAGTCTTTCCGATTGGAGAGCCCAATTAATGGAGGGTTTCAACTCGCTGTGACCTATACTGAATCTGACGCCGAATTAAAGTAATCACATGAAGACTTGTACAAGTGTTCACTACTCGCTTCTCGCTTCAGTGGTCACCCGAAACTGGAGAATATGTCTGTTCCGGTTCTGATTGCAGTGTTATATACGTGATTGGAATTTGCATTCTTTCCATCTGGACGCTACGTAGTGTGTGAAGGATTCGACAAAATTTCCATGGAAGCACGCGACCAGCCTCGCATTACTTACCTCTCCTCAGGCACGCGTCTCCAGAAATCTTCTGTCACTTCATTCGTTCCCTTGTCCCCATGAAGTGGATTTCCTTTAGCAAAACAACCGCCTTGGCAACATCGGATAAACCTGTTTAGATAGCTCGTTCAGAACGATGCCACAACTAAGCATTGTGGGTGAAACTGTTGCTTTACTATTTTACTTGGAGTCTCTTTTTTGCTTATTTTCTTTGTCATAGTGTGTGCATCCGAGTGTGGGAACAACCCGTTTGTGGTACGTTTCCATTGAGAAGCCTTGACAAACATACGTTCTTAACACCCGTATGAGAGACAACGATCCGATCCGAAGAGTTTCATGTCGTCGATTTGGTCCGCCTTCATTTCAATTCGATCATCGCGACCATGTGCTTTTATCTGCCTAATTGGCTGTCACATAACTGATCGTTTTGTTTGATTCAATATCGAGGTTGTCAGATATTGTGTCCGAAATCGTTCCATATGATTTAAAAAAAATAAAATTGACTCTACGACTGGCTCGAAAGGTAAAAGATTTCTAAGAAATTTATCCAAAAGGGTTTTCACTTCTGCGAGGGGACACCCATTGTGATGCCTAAGATGCTTTTTAATTGCCGTGACAAGCGGGCGTCTTGATTGACGTCATCTGGCTTTTAACTGACGTTGTTTGGATTTTACCAGGGACGGTGGGAGAAAGTTGTCTACCGTCCCTTATCTGCAGATGATTGTCCTTATATAACTAAACAGTGGTAGTGGCAGTAGTAGTAGTAGTAGTAGTAGTAGTAATAGTAATAGAAGCTTTAACATTTCTAATTTGGAAGTTACTTTTGACTTCCATTTTTGCACAAATTAGGGACGTGCCACAAAAAATCACACTGCACTGAGTCTATCGTTTGGCTCAAAATGAATGATTCCTGGTTGCATTATGCTATGCTGAGTTTACCAACCAGGTTTCTTTTTTCCTGCTCTTCCTCTGATAGTGGATGGTTTAGTGGACTTTGATGAACTGTGCGTTTTTGTCGGATCACGAATCGTCATGAAGAATTTGGAAAGTGAATTGGATCAATTTCTTCAAGCGTTGGACAGCGATGGTAAGTGGCATCTAGCAAATTATGAGGTTTCTTCACAGGCATAGAACAATACCAAATGCTCCGTGGAGGGGGAGGGGAGGCATATCGCTCCGCACTAGTGGTTATGTCACAAATAGGGCATCATACGTTTGCTTTTAGGTTAGTAGTGTTGTATCTTAAACTTGGCCCCACGATGCCTATCCCAACGATCCCAGTTAAAAGACTGTTGCATACAGTGCAAGTCTTTATCGGTAGTGCCAGCCAAACGTGGATTGAAAAACTGAAAAACTTGCGGTTTATATGGGGTTGATCTCAGTCTGGAGTAACAGGTTTGGATTAGCAAATTCGATTGTCCGGATATACCAGGAGCCTTTGATCAAACGGGCTAATCCAAACCTGATGCTCGAAATTGATTGGGCCATTCGCTCAAGGTGGTGACTGTTGACCGTGTAGCTCAGGGGTAAGGGATGAAAGTCCCAACCCAAATGCTGGTGGTTCGAGTCAGTGTGACGGAGTGACACGGAAAGTACGCACTGCTGACGAGTGCCGCAAGCAGTACGAAACAGCTGTCTTTGGGCTCTTTGTCGGTGATCTCAGTCTAGTCATCTGTCTATAGTATTGGGGTTACGAGGGAGCTGATAGAGAAGTTGAGCAAACAAGGTTGCCATTCTCTGTTCGTTATCCTGACGAATACGTATCCAGGACCCTCGAGAAAACACCGACATGTTCTCACGATGGCGGCTGATCTCAGTCCATTCCAAGTACAAACTATGAGAATTCTCAAGGGAAGATTAGGCTTCCTCTGACAAATATCCGAGTCCAAATGGTGTGATTGAAGAAGGGATATTGGAAATGCACTCACTACTCGGGCCAACATGTTTCATGAACACAAGTTCCTCGGTTTATTTGTAGTACTCCCAACTGTTCAAAATGGGATGTTTGATTGATTCAGTTCGATCTCCGCGTCCTGTTATTTGCAGTATTCGAATGTGATTTAGCACGTGAAGAAATGTTCACATTTCAACGTCTATACTCCTGAACGGGTCTGGTTTAGTGATAAACTAGAGATAAATAAAGGTATAAGAAATCCTCAATAAATGATTCAACTTCCAACACAAAATAATTGATTCCGAAGCTGAAGATTTGTCCGGTAAAATTAGTTATTTTTTCCTCATAAATGCCTTACAACCAGGTGCACTTGACGTGAGTGGGATTACAAACCCTTGTTGAAATTCCCGGTTGAATCAGGCGTCACTTAGATTGCTTCACATTCATCGATTATTCCATCAAAAACTTGCAATAAATTGCCTGAGAAATTAACAATTTCACCATGTGCAACGTCATCTTTGTTGGTATTAGTTAGCCCGGGGGACAGATTCATGGTGCTCCCACAAAGCGAACATATCGCGCCGTTTCCTGTGTGTGTGTGTGTGTTCGAAGCCATTGGCACGACAGATGTGCTGGTGGCCTGGCCTAGATGAACGCATTGGGTAGAACTGCTATTCCTGTGGCCTTTTCCTCGCGTGTTAGTATTTCCGTCGTCTGTCTGAGCCGCAAGGCTTTTGATTGGTTGGTGCAGTCGTTGTCCAGAAGCTGTGACACGTACGCGCTTTGCTGACGTCACCTGGGTAGCTTGATTGATCACAGTTGTCCGAAAACTGTAACGTGTCGCCCCGTGGTACGCGTGATCTCGTAGGCTAGGATCACCGCAGTGTTGCATCCAGTGATGCGAACCCTGAGACAGAAGTTTGATCACTGTGAGGTTTTCTTTCTGTGCTCATTCACATCCAACGTCTACCTACCCATCGATTCTGTTTTAACACGTTATCAACCAATCACTATGACGATTATTACGTGTAAGTATACTGAAGATGTGGTGTTTGGGTGCCCTTCCAATAACGATGTATCTTTCCACCAACTTAAAGACAGTTTGATTGATCTTTTTAGTTGGTCTCTGCCCTGATCGCATATGCTTAATGTTTTCAAATGTGTTGACGTTCCCTTCAGCCTTAAATCTGGTTCCTGTTATCAACCTACCTTTAATGATTTACCAGACCTCATCGTTAACAGTCACAGCATTTTCAAAGCAGATTCTGTTAACTACCTCGGAGTCGTTCTATCCCACAATTTCCCTTGGACCTTACATGTGGAGAACGTTTAGAGGAGGGTTCGTAAACTTTCTTTTCATGCTTCCAGACTAAGAAAGTTTGCTGTCACCTCAAAAGTGATTGTTAAATTTACGGTTGCGTGCATCCTCGTCTCTCTTTGACTGTACTGTTTCGCTGTTTTTTTCCCTACCTGAAAGAAAAAGATTTCATAGTAATTTTCAGATCCATAAAAGTCGTTTCTAGAGGTAGTGGGAAAGGACATGAACCCATGTGAAATAATAACTGATGAATTCTTTCATTTCGAAGATCACTGTTTGCACAAGGGACTTCTTAAATTCATGTCAAACGCGCGCACCCGCTCCCACTATAAGTTCCTTCCCGCAAGCATCGCTACATGTGAAAACAGCATCCACTCGTATCTTGCCTTTTTCAGTGAACCAGGTTTCAATTATTGCAGGTCTGGCGGAACATCTCATGAGTTAGTTTATCTTTCTTTTTAAAAACTTTTACTATCGTCTTCTTGCTCGCTGTGTGCTATTGCTTTGTTTATCCCTTTCAGTTAGTTTGTTTTCTTCTTTCCATTTCTGCTGTACAGTCGTGAGAATCGCTAAAAATTCACCCTACCCCCGTGGGTATATAAAGCTTATTCTGATTTGACTTAAGTTGATTGAATAAATGTCTCATTCTGCACCGCTCCTCCCCCCCCCCCCCCCCGAATTTAATTTGACCCCTGATCTTTTATCCAGCTGACGGAAAATTAAATCGAAAAGATATTCGACAGATTTTGCGTCACTTTGATTTACCGAATGACAAGGAACATGTGGATGTTTTGCTTCAAGCCATGCAAACAGAACACACAGACTATGTGACCGTGGCAGGTATGCTCCATCCACGCCTCACTCCGATCGTTTACTCTGCTTATGCTCTCTCTGTATTTTTAGAATTACGAAAGTTCATTCATCCGTCCGGAAAAGAGTTGAGCATCAGAACTCTATTTGGTGAGGAATATTAAAGCAAATGTGCTAGTCTATTTTAGAGCAATTTCTTTTTTTATAAATAAATACATTTTAATGATTCTGACGAAAAAGAAAAAAACTGGTTGCGGTTTTGCTTATCCCTCTGTTTCTGATTCTCTCGCTCACACCCCGGTGTATCACTCGCCGAATGTTAGTTTTTCGAAGACATTTATGTTCGATTTGGTAACTACGATCGATCGGTGATTTGTATTAGTTACGCAGTACAGATCTCCAGATATGCTGTAGACATAGAAACCCGCTACCATCCATCTTCCATAGACGGAAACGGAAGCAAATCTGCCATACAGATATCGATCAACCTGTCTTCCAACAGCCTGACTTTCATCAGATTTTTTCCTCCCAATGTTTGGTATTTTGCGCCTTATTGACTGGGGATCCGAATATGATCATTTTACCCACATCAAACGCAACATAGCAGTGATAATTTCAATTGGCCGAATACCATTAAAATGTACGAATGCTCAAATTGCACGACGGTTGCTGATGCATCAGTTGTAAAAGAACTAAATCTGAGTATAAAATATAATTTATTTATAAAAATGACAAACAGCCTTGTTCCAGATATTACTGCGTCACTTTGTCAGTCTTCTTTATTTCTGAGCACGGGAGCCAGTCGTTTCTGAATGGAGTCCACCAAGTTAACTGTCAAACAACATTTGCCATTTTCATCCAAAACATGCTACATCCTGGTCACTAACGACCACTGTCGAGAAAGATTACTTATCCCTGTTTTTGATACAGGGAAAAGTTTTCGATTATTTTCAAATCTTAGGTGGTGGGTGGCAATTGAATGAATTTGACACTGTATTTGACCCATCTGGAAACTACCTAAATGTATAAAATAATATACAATGAGATCTAACCGTTTTCAACTACCGACCTTAAGCGAGATACTAGACTTACCTTCATCTGGGAAAACTATGACTTCTGAAAATGCATTTCGAGAGTGACAGTCATTGAAAACCTTATTAGTGCACCAATTTTTTGCGGTATCCGGAGTCGTGAGTACGGGAGACCGACGACGACGACGAAAACAACAACAAGACATTCAGTGTGTTTACTTTCTTTTGAGCTGTAACTTTTGAACTACTACAAATTGTATCGCGACCCTCAAGGTCGCGTGCAAATTCAAACTAAGAACATAGCAGTGGGTGATAAAGTATAGTCTTTATATTGTTTAGCATTTTAAATTTCTCAGATCAATATGGTCAGCTACTCTACTGAGAATTATAACTTGATGGATGGGTGTTCCAAATATTCTACCGCTTGTTGATATATCACGACACATCATCAGAAATAAAAAATCCAACTACAGTTCGATTGGTGAATGATTTGTGAAACTTTAAAAATATTGGTAATCTTTGGTAATGGAAATCCTGTGTTTGGGTGCTTCCTAGTGCTCTAAATGATTGTTGCTAACCAGAAATCCTTTCAACCCGATCTGTATTTGTATTTGTGTTCTGGGCTGGGACAAATTTGCACCGTACATTTATTTGTGCCGAGCTAATTTTCATCAGGACAAGAATAATGAGAAACTTCACACGGCAAAGCAGTCCATAATGCTGATGCAAAAGTAATATATAGATAAACCGCACACGGGCAGACTTTGCAAACTGGATTCTCAAACTCTGGAAACTTGTGAAACCTCGAATTCACCAACCAAAATCTCAGATCGATGCCAAAGCAAGTTTTATTATGGAAAATACATACCCAAGCGGTTGCTTCCCTTGTCCCATGAGGTTTTTCGCACAACTGGATTGATTTATAGATCATAGAGAGCGAGAGAGAGGAAAGATGTCACCAATTTTCGGTGTTTCTTGTACACTTTGCTCCGGATGTCAAAATTTAAGACATGAGGATGACCGACATGGGTGATGAAGCTTCTGCATTATCTGATTGACAAAAATCGAATCCCCTCAAGTATTCCATTCTTACCACATAAGTCTTCGAATGCAGTCCCTTGATCATCTTGGTGACCTTTCTTTGTGACCTTTTTCAAAACCTACGATCGCGATACAGCCATGAATTGCACACTTGAATGGCATATTCTATGTGAGGTTGGATGTAGACTGATACCAAACGTTGGAACAGCATGGGTTTAAATTTCCGAATGACTAGTTTTCCACACCAACATGTCTTGCACCGGTGGACGACGCCCTTGGGCAGCTTAATGAACAACTTATGGCCTTCTTGAACGATGAAATCGAGACCCTTCTCATCTGAGTAATACGGAAGTTAATGATATCCTAGGCAGGCGACAGTTGGAAACCCGTGGTTTATTGCTTGAACTGTCGATCATGAGTCGTGGTACTCTATTGCATCTGGAAGCCATTCTTCTCGATCCCTATTGAGCAATCACCCCGGAGATACATCAAATACAGCAACACCAAAAACCCTGACCACTGATGTACGCGGTACCTGGGAAACTCATATTCCAGATTCAAAATTTACAGGGCAGTTTATCATCCCTCTTAATCCCTGCCGGACTACTTCAATCTGTTCTTCCAGATACTGTCATGCCTTGTCGTATGACTAACGAGACATTTAGTTTAATCTGTAATCTGCTAAGGAGAAACCATTTTATTCGAAAACACTGCCAAAAGTTGAAGTGAAATTTCATAAGAATCGCCCTGAGCTAGAACTCACTTTTCATCTGTAAGTACCTAACGCAACTGCCTCTAGGTCAAACGCACTTCAGGATTGTGTCAATAACAAGTTGCTTGATCGTAAAATTTAATATCAGTGGTGTTTTTGTCACAGAAGGTCAATATCAATCGAATGCAACTGCTGCAATCAAATCGAGTTCGATTGAGAGTCTGTATTGACAATGTGTGGAATCGGAGTGACATGATGGCACAGATAACTAATACTATTCCTATTCACCAACTACTTGTACACGGTCAGAGTTTCGTTAATTTTGGCTATCGTTTTATTCGGTGGTGTTCGCGAGATCCTAGAATCGGCTAACGCGATCACACTGTGGAACTCCCTTACAAGCGAAATGCCGATCAAGCGAAGCCAACAACATCGTTTGTGGTCTCTACTGAAATCTGACGACGGGGCTCAGATAGTTGTATTCTTCGATGAATTTACTACAAGCCAGATACTCTGGGACACCGTTCAGAAACATAATCGTTTGAAGTCAACCTTTCAGCACCCAACATTATCGGTTTAGAGAGTATGCTCGTTGATCAGACTGCTCCAATCAGAACGATTTTAAGTCCAAGGGATCAGAAGGGGCACGCGTTTTACTCCTTCCTAATACAAATGTTAAAACTGGTAAAACTCTGTTTCTGTGTTCTTCGGTTCAGATGAAGGCTAACTGCACACAGACAGAAACATTTTCCGATTACAGGTGAACTTAATCAACCTCACACACCTTAGAGACCACTATGAAATCAAACGTTTGCTCTCTGGATTTGTTGGGTAGCAGTTTATGCTATTTGGTTTTGCCAGCAGTCCAAGACCACGATACCTTCGCATCAGCATTGTTCAGCTCATTTCTATACTTGATCATTCTCATGATAACAAAGTTTACCCCCAAATACTAGCTATGAGAATTCGTCATCTAACTATAATCAATGCATAATTCCTCATTTGGTTACGACATGCCCAAGGATATTCAGTTCGTGGCATGTTGCGCCATCCGTACTGTTACGGGAACGATAACAGATATAACGTAGGACGAAATTTGAATTGCGCTTAAGGA